GCCTTTCCCTTCCAGTGAAATGGGTTGGTGTCGGCAAGTCCCGGGACTCGATCATCCAGCTGTTCTAGGCGGCGGCGGCGCAGGCAGCGTGTCCTGGGCCCTCGGAGGCATCGCCGATGCCGTAGAAGAAGAGACGTGGCGGTTTGGGGGACTTTCCTGTTCCTCCTGAGGCTGTGGGCGCCACCACTGCTCATCTTAAACGTCGGGAGCCAGCCTCGCGCAGTCGCTCGCTCCTGCTGTTTGGAATGAGCCCGGGGCGGGCGGACGGACCGCGGTGGCTCCTTTCTGTCCCGCGTTGTGTCCGGTTGGAGCAGGTCAGCAATAAACATCGGGAGCCGCTGAGCGGGAGTGGTCACGCGCGCTCTGCTCTCACTGTGTCTTTTTAAAAAAATATATATATTATTGATTGATTTTTTACAGAGAGGAAGGGAGAGGGATAGAGAGTTAGAAACATCGATGAGAGAGAAACATCGATCAGCTGCCTCCTGCACGCCCCGCACTGGGGATGTGCCCACAACCAAGGTACATGCCCTTGACCAGAATCGAACCTGGGACCCTTGAGTCCGCAGGCTGACGCTCTATCTGCTGAGCAAAACCGGTCAGGGCCTCACTGTGTCTTTTATGTTTTTTAAAAAATACATTTTTATTGATTTCAGAGAGGAAGGGAGAGGGAGGGAGAGAAAGAAACATCAGTGATGGGAGAGAATCACGGATCGGCTGCCCCCTGCACGCCCCCCACTGGGGACCGAGCCTGCAACCCGGCCATGTGCTCTGGTGGGGAATTGAACCGTGACCTCCTGGGTCATAGGTCGATGCTCAGCCCCTGAGCCACGCCGGCCGGGCTGACTTAGTCGTTTTGTTTTGACTTTTAAACACTCGAAGTCACCAGCCATGCTTTGCCGTGACAGTGGTCTGGGTGACACCAAGCCGAGCGGTTTATGTGCTCAGAACCAGCCCGTGTAAGAGAGACCACGGCAGTAAATGTGTTTCCCAAACATTTAAAGGGCTTCGCTCTAGAGCCCCCCTCCCCTCCGCTGGGTGATGAGCCCGCCCCGCCCTCC